GAATCCCCGCCTCTCTCCTTCCACTTGTTCCGCGGAAGGAGGCGGCCGATTGACGGCCTTAAAAGTACCTCCCGCTGCTTTCCCCTGTGGTAACCGTCGGGGCTTTCGGTCTCTCAAGTCCGCTCCTGAACGGCCCCTCCCACCACCGCTTTAGGGAGGTAAACAAGCGTCTCAGGCAACTGACAGAGAGAACCGCCCAATTCGCGGCATCAGCGCCCCTTACCCCCTCCCCGCCGACATTTACAAACTCGTCCGGGGGTTCAAAACACAATAATCACGAAGGCGGGGTGTGGGGTTCAGCATAAGGCGGCAAGTGGGGTGAAACAAAGGGGAGAGAGACAAACAGGTGGTGTTTTTATAATATTCGACGTCGGTGTGGTGAGCTGCTAAGGATGACGAACTGGATTTAGGATATCCCACCTGAATCATTAAACTCGCTGGTTGATCTTGGACTCATAATTCTGCCTCACCGTAATTTCCCTCATAGGGTGGTGAGGATGTGTTTCCACTGGGGGAAAAGTGGGATGTAAGAACTAAATGATTTTAAAAATAGAGACAATCTATGATACACTGTTTAAAATGCGTTGTCAGCTTATTCTGCTGTGAGGTAGGTTGATACTGAAGCCAGTTCAATACTTTTTTGCTAGTCCATCTTACCCAAAGTCAAAATACATCGTATTCAAATTTGAGCATGTTACTTTGGCACTAAAGGCAAAGCATACAAATAACTCTTCCACTCCCTGAGAATAAAAACATGGATATAATAAATTTGATAATAAACCATTTGCTGTCCCACCAGCTGCAGAAGATAAAAGTGTGGCAAATTTCGGTTTTCTGAGGAGCTTGGAAGTACCATTGGCATTTCCCTTTTCTAAGGAGAGTGAGAATGAGATTTCCTTGTCTGATGTTTTATTAATATGGCTACTTGGACTGCATTTGGGCTAAATTCTTTGGGTAGCCTTGGAAGATGGTCATTTGGTCCTGTTTGAAAGAATGGAATATGTCCAACAAGCATAGATTTTTGAGATGAATTATGAGTCCAAGATCAACCAGGCTCCCAGCAAGGAGTATAATAAAGAAACCAACAAAACAGCATGTCAAAAGATTTTATATTTTGAGTTACTTTGTTCCATTTGTTTTGTTCTCATTCACAGACTGATCAAATTTCTCTTCCATATATATCTGTACAGTATTAACAATTTCTTTTGATATGGTTAGCAAATTTTTGGCAATGAGTTGTCATTGAATATTTACTTCCAGTTGCACTTACTTGAGTCAGCAATGGAATTTTTGCATAAGTGTTTCAGCAGTCACTGCTATATCTCCTCTTGATAGCTAAAGTGATCAAGGAAGCCATGTTGTTGCCAACCCCATATGTTCAAAATCATGAGTCAACCTTGCAGCAGTACTAGGCAAATATAGAAAACAGTGCTTGGACCACTGATAGTTCTCTCAAGGGTGGTAGAAATCTCCCCTGCTGACCTTTAACTGATTACTTTTAGATGTCATATGGACTCTACTGCTTGGTTTAACTTTATTGCATGTGATTCTGAGCTTTAAAATCAATGTATAAGGTCAATTTTTTAAAATTTATTTTTATAGATGCTTTATTTACATGTCGAAAGAATGTGCTTCTGGCAAAGAGCACGACCACCCATATAGACAACTTTTCTCCTTCAATCAGTGGAAAGTCAGTTCCAGAGGAGCAACAAGCCCTGCTGCAGCAGTGGCTAGAAGAAGGAGCTAGTGAATTGCACCCCAATGAGTGTGGGTCAGAACCAGAGAAGGTGTCAGTCATTTCCTTTACTGAGTGGCGGGAAGGCTCAGAGCTACTAATGACAAGCTTAAGTGACCTGCACATATCACCTCAGTCTGGTGACCAGGAGCAGCCACAGCAACAGCATGTGGTCCAGACTGAAATGTCTCCTGCACTACAGGAATTTGTAGAAACAGCCTTGGCAAATATACCAGCAGAAGAACAAGAGGCCTTGGGTGACAGTGCTGTATGGGCAGCAGTAAGGACGCAAACTGATAGTGGGATTGTCGATGCTGCTCCTTTGTCCACAGATGTGTGGATTGAAGACCCTGCTGTAATTGCTTGGAGTCCTGCACAGGAAGGTGACATGGTATCAGCACAGGGAGAAGTGTGGCCTTTTCAGAACACGGGTCAATTTCAGCCAGTCTCACTTGAGATACCATATCATGGTGAGTTTGAAAGTATTTCATATTGTGATAGTTGACTTTTTGTGCTAGAATGAGACCTGCTAGGATAGTCTGTGCTAGATGTCCAATTTATTTGTTTCCAGCAGTGCAGAAATGTCTGTCTTATTTTTTCCCTGGGTTCCTTCAAGATATTCTTATCCTTTAATTGGCAAATTATCTATTGCTGAATTCCTTTACAAGTATTTCATTTTTATACCATCCATCTGGCAGACGGCCACACTGGATGGTTTACAACAAACACAAAACAGCGTAATTAAAATAGCAATACAACAGAACAAAGAATAAAAATAATAAAATACAAAATACGAATAAACAGTAAAATCAGAATACATTAAAACTTTAACATTTGGAAATATTATTTCTAGGTTTTTTTGACCTAACCATCCCCAAGCTGGTGCCTTCCAAATGTCTTGGACTATAACATTGTTGGTTATATTGGCTGGTATTGGTGAGGGTGCAGTCCAATATATTTGATGGGTACTGTGTTGGGGAAGGCTGTTACAATTGTAGAGGGCAAATCACCTAACATTCAGTCATGTCTAGCTGGCAATTAATGAGTTGCCCTGGGGATTCTCAAGGGCTTGCCTGCCTGCTTGCTTGGCATGTGCTTGAGTATCCCAGTTGGGACTCCTTAATTGCCAACTGGAAGGCACTGAAAGTTATGCCTGCGTGAGTGAGAAAGCAACATGATTTCAGCCAATTCGAGGCAATCTTGGCAATTTCACAAGCAAAGTCATTGTTATGTTCTTTAGCAAGAATCTTTATTTCAGTTGAAATTCTTATGGCCTATTTGGACATGTTTGGTTTTCTAAATACAAATCAAAGGAATTCAAACATAGAAGCACATAGACAAATGCTAATTTCTGAATAATTTATTTGTATGTCAGAAAGTACGTGTGTACTTCAGCTTTTCTTTCCATTTTGTGGTTCTGATGAAAATTATTTCTCAAAGGTTGCTATTCCATTTTGGAGAAATTTCTCCACTGTCAATACAATTTTCATTATAAGAATGTGCATGTTAAATGCAAACATATATTTAAAGTATCATCTGATTAGCCTTTAGGATTGATCTAAATGTTGTGGTGGAATATGCTACTGTGGTTGAGAGCACTCAGTATGATTTTTTTTTAAAAATCAAAAATAAGTTTAGGGACCTTTGCATTGGCTTGGGGCTATGGCATTATGAGAAGAAAGTTTAGGATTCCACATGGACTTCCCTATACCCAAACATCTTTCCCTTATTTTTCCCTGCCATTGAGAGGAATAGCACACAAAGGCACATCCAGACCTAACTTCTTTCCTTCTCTCTTCTGTTTGTTTGTAGAAATTCTGTGGAGGGACTGGGAAGATCTTTCTGCATTCTGTATCCCAGAGTTGGGTTCTGAGGCTGGTTGTTTATTTGAATTCAGAGTCATGTCCTACAACATTTTGGCCCAGGACCTGATAGAACAGAGCCCTCATCTCTACATGCATTGCCACCCAGATATTCTGAACTGGAGCTATCGTCTCACAAATCTGTTGCAGGAGATTCAGCACTGGGATCCTGACGTGAGTAGCACAACTAGGGGGTCTAACCATATCTGTAACCATATGAATTTGGAAGTTGAGGAGAAGAAAGTACTAGACACCCCTTGCTCCCACTAGTATTTGATTATGAAACTGGGGACATCCTGCTGATATGAAGCCTACTTGTGCCAGCCATTTAGTCTTGCATCTCAGAAGTTCATTAATGAGGCTTTGCCCTATTGAAGAGCTTTAGAAATTTCTGGCTGCTATGTAGCTCACTTTATTGTTGGCAGTATCTTCAGTTTTGGTTTCATCTTCTTTCATTTTTTTCTCTGTTCTTTTTGTTTGAGTTGAGAATTGACAGCAGTCCCAAAAGATGCTGTATTCATTTTTACTCCGTGTTGTTTGAATTTATTTGTTTATTGCTTTTATCCCTTGCATGACCTACGATAGCTATTAAATGAATCATCACATTAAAATAAATATATAATTAATGCAATTTAAAACAAGCTTACACCATTTTGAAATAGTGGCAGCAGCAAAACATCTGCCACTGACAGATCCAAATCAGTGGTCAGAGGCCTGTTTTGTTTAAATAAAAATGTTTTGGCTTGCCATTACAAGACATCAAGGAGGGACCAATCTAGCTTTTCTTGGAAGAGTGTTCCAAAGCCTGGCAAAAGTAACTGAAAAAGCTTCCTTTCTTGGCCTTACCAAGGTTGCCTGTGATGATTGTGAAGCAAATAAAAAGGCCTCTTCTGAAGATCTTAACTCCTGTGGAGGCTATATAAACAGCTTCATCACTAAATAATGGGGGCTCATATAGAGACCCTTCCCAGTAAAATGAGAAGTTTAAATAAAGGAGCCTTTTCTGTCATTCTGTCATGAACTTTGGAAGGTGGTGATGCCAAGGCCCTTCTCTCTGTTCCACCACCTTCCCAAGGTTCTTTGGTGAGGACATGACAGAGGCCTTCTCAGTGGTTGATCTCAGACTTTGGGATATACTGCCCCTAGGAGTCAGGTTGGCCTCCTCCTTCTTGTCATCTTGCAAAGACCTTTTTTTTCAAACAGACTTTTAAGCAATAAGTGGGGGTGGGGAATCTAGGGAGTCTGTGTTTGAATATAGTTTTTTTTATTATACAGTTTTAATTGTCGAGAGCTACCCTATGGGGAGAAAGGTGGTGTATAAATAATATGATTGGGGTGAGCAACTATTAATTGGACTCTTTTTCTTTCCTTTTAAGGTTCTGTGCCTCCAAGAAGTTCAAGAGAATCACTATTGGGAACAGCTGGAACCTGCACTTATAATGATGGGTATAACATCCTTTAGATGATAAGACTAGTTAAATATCTCTCTGACTATTTCTGAAATATGCTAATAATTATTATTAATAATTACTATAGAAATGCAGCCTGCCCAGTTCTAATGGTTGCCTTACTTCTAAAATTCAGACCGCATCTGCTCTAGGAGCCCCCATGAGTATTAAAATCTTAAAGTGACTACCTTTTCTTGGTCTCACCACTTTCATAAGCATGATTGAGCAGCTACTCAAGAGAGGGCTTTTTGAGTAGCTGCTCCCAAATTATCTACCTCCCTTCTTCAGGAAGTGTTAATGGCCCCTTCTCTCCTTTTCTTCTACTGGGAACTGAAAAGGTACCTCTTTAGAGAGACTTTTGGAGAGTCAACAGGAAACTGAAATGGGGAGATCTCTTAAAATTTCATGTATAGTTTTAAAGCTGTGTTTTAAGATATACTAGCCTTAAAATTTAATTGGAATACTTTTAATTATTGTGGATTTTAGATATTTTTGTATGCTATCTTGGGTTCCCACTAGAGAAGGGTGGGATAAAATTAATTAAACAAACAAATAAGTACTATTTAAAATTTGCAGAGACATGTGACCAAATGTATGCAGGTTTACTGTGAGATGTTTGTGTTTGTGCATGTGTTGGGCATTATTGTCCAGTGTTCTTCACTGTTTAAATTGTTCTGATATGGGCTTTTGTTGTCTGGCTAGGCTTTACCTGCATCTTTAAGCGCCGCACAGGAAGAAAGACAGATGGATGTGCAATCTGCTACAAGCAGAACAAGTTCCAGTTGATTAACGCTAATCCTGTGGAATACTTCCGGCCTGGCTTCGATGTCCTTAACAGGGACAATGTGGGTCTGGTAGTACTGCTACAGCCCTTGCTCCCAGAAAATATGGGGGACAAGGCAAGCAGCCCTTTATGTGTTGCAAACACTCATGTGTTGTACAATCCACGTAGGGGAGATATTAAACTAGTCCAGATGGCTCTACTCCTAGCAGAAATTGACAAGATTGCAAAAATGACTGATGGTAGCTACTGCCCTGTCATCTTATGTGGGGACCTGAATTCTGTGCCTGACTCACCCCTCTACAAGTTTATCCGAAATGGCCAGTTATATTACCATGGAATGCCAGCTTGGAAGGTAAGTAGAGAAAGGCATAATTTAGCTCTTAAATGGATAATGATTGATTGATTGAAATATTTTTACTCTGCCTTTCTCCTCAAAAGGACCGAAGGTGGCTCACATCATTAAAAGGACAATATACAAAAGCTAAAAACAGTAAAGTGTTGAAATATTTAAAAAGAATTAAATAAGTATCATATTAAACATAAATAAAATCAATACTAAAAAACATTTAAAAGAACCAGAACACAAAACCCCTCTCAGACTGCCAGTCACAAAGAAAAGCTTGTCTGAAGAAAAAGGTCTTTGCCTGCTTGAGGAAGGACAGAAAAGATGGAGAGCTGCTCATGGGAGCAGCAGCAGGGGGGCCCCTCTCGCATGTCCCCACCGAAAGCACCTGTAGGGGTGGTGGGACTGAGAGAAAGCCTCTCCTGATGATATTAATGACCAGGCAGGCTCATAGAGGGAGATATGATTATATAGCTTTGACCCAAGCCGTTTAGGATTGTATAGGTTAAAACCGGCACTTTGAATTGTGCACAGAAATGGATCAGCCAGTGGCACTGTTGTAACAGGGGTGTTATATGTTCCCTGTAACCAGCCCAGTTAACAATCTGGAAGTTTCCGAATGCCTTCCAGAGGCAGTCCCACATACAGCGTGTTATAGTAATCCAACCAAGATGTAACTAGGGCATTGGTCACAATGACCAAATCAGAGCTCTCAAGAAACTGGCACACCTGGCGTACTGTTTTTTTACTGTGCAAAGGCGGTCACTGCTGAAACCTGGGCATCCAGTCTTGGAGATGAATCTAGGAGCACCCCCAAGCTGCACACCTGTGTTTTTAACGGGAGTGTAACCACACACAACCACACACTCTTTGATCTGCATTTTTCACTGACCAGGAGCATTTCTGTCTTGTCTGGATTAAGTTTGTTCATTTGTCCTCATCCAGTCCATCATTAACATCAGTGATTTAGAGTTGAAACAGTTTCCTCTGATTTAGATGGAAAAGAAAAATAGAGTTGGGTGTCGTCTGCATATTGGTGACGCAAAACTCCGGACAACCTCTCCCAGTGGGTTTCATGTATATGTAATAAGCATAGGGACAAAACAGAACCCTGAGGGCAGCCAGGGTGTCAAACAAGTGTCGCCCAGCACCACCCTCTGGGTCCTCCCCTCCAGAAATGACTAGAGCTGCTGTAAAACAGTGCTTCCCAGCCCCATCCCAGAGAGATGACGCAGAAGGATACCATGGTAGCTGGAAGTTGAGTCATGGCAACTGGACTCAGTTGAGACGTTTCACTACTAATCCAGGTAGCTTCTTCAGACTGAGAATCTTCACAGATACATGGGAGATGGTATTGAAAGCCGATGAGAGGTCTAGGAGAACCAACAGGGACACATTCTCCCTGTCAAGTTCCTAGTATAAGTCATCCACCAAGGCAACCTACGCTGTCTTCGTCCCGTAACCAGGCCTGAAGCCAGATTGCAATGGGTCTACTGTAGATAATCTGTCTCATCCAGGAACCAGTGGAGCTGAGAAGCCACAACCTGCTCCAGCACTTTGCCCAGGAATGGGATATTAAACACTTTTCTCTGAGACTAATGCTTGCCTTCTTGATGCCAGTCCTTGCTTTTTCTTTCCATGGTTTTGGAAAGACCATGGTTTTGGTCAGTTTGTTCAGTGAACCTGAACTGGTTAATATCTGCTAAAAGAAGAAAGTTTTAGAAGAGGTAGCCTTGTTAGTCTGTGCAAGAATATCAGGCAAAACTCAAAGAAACACAGGACCTCATTAAAATATAAAACTTAGCCTTTAAGGAGCCTCTTTTTGGGGTTTTTGTTTTGTTTTGTTTATTTGGATTTTGCCTGATGTAAAAGGAGAAAGTTCAAGTTGGAAGTTTTGTACATGGAGGGGAGGTCTACATGCTAGCTTCTACATTTCTTTGTTTCATTTATTTTTGTACACTTGCATAAAAGAAGCATGGAAGGTTAGATCAAGAATAAAGTTTTAAAATGAAAATTATGATACAGTATGTTCCAACCTAAAGCAGATAGAAATTTGTTTGGTTTTTCTCCCCAATCAAGCTGGCCACTGTATTCTAATCTTACTTCTAATAATGTTGAATAAATCTAGTCAAAGAATAAAAAGCAAAACAAAAGTACTACATTTTTCTGTACTGAAAATGTGAAACCAGTCATATAAGCTGCAGAAGGCTTCTGCAGGGTGGTCAGGCAAGGACAGCAGGGCATGGGTGTGTTGAATGAGAGCATGCAGAAAGTAGGCATGCAATAGTAAATTTATGATTATTGATTCCTATGTCTCCTGCCCCAAAAGAAACAATTGTTATACCACTATCTGCAACAATTTTAGATTTCTGTAGTTCTAGTTCGAATGGGAAAAGTCTAGATTTCATTGTGCTCCTTCCCTCTTTTCTAATCATTTAATTTCCCTGCATGTGTAATAGTAGTGAAATTGTATGTTTTTATTCTGCAGAAGGTAGACACTGGATTTCTGTCTTTTTAAATATGAATGCAGTTACTATTAATTTTTCCTTTATTTGTAGTTTGTTTCAAGATGGAGCATTTGTTCTCTATTGTATACCTGATTCATTGTTGATATTACCTATGTGACAAAAGATTGTGTCAGTAACAACAGTGACAAAATTAGTGTTGTTTTTTGACCCCTTCAGATGAGGCATAGTTTGGGATTTTGTTTCAGAAGACAAATACTGTATAGCAGTGTGACACTTTCCCTTAAAGTTCATTTCCTTGGTCAAAAGTATCCCCAGTGGAAGTTTTCTCTTAGCTTCTGATTAGCACAGAAAATAAGCAAATAGCTTTAGAAGACTAGCCATAGCAGAGAAGTGGTTTTCCTACATATTTATTAAAGGTTAAGATTTGCTGAAGAGAAGCAATTTTCTGAAAACTGAACTTTTGATGCAGCCCCTGGTACCATGCAGTCTCTTGCTATGGAACAGGGACAAGCCAAGAAAAAGGAGTAGAACTTTTCACCTGTCTGGGATACTCCCAAGAAGAGCATATGCCTGAAAATACTTCAGTATGTAATTGTATTCCAAATTTTCTGTCTCTGTAGGTGTCTGGGCAGGAAGAATTCTGTCAGGCTGTCCACCAGCGGAAATTACAAACTCCCCTCTGGCCCAGCTGTTTAGGTATAACTGATAGTTGCCAGTTTGTTAACCTGTGCCAGAGTAAGAAGTCAGGTGAGTTTCACGATGAAAATGAGAGCATGTTTTGTATAACCTTGGTTTTTCTCCACAAATGTTCTGTCAGAAAATTACTTTAAAAAAAGAAAGTCTTTAAAGCTTAGGCAGGTAGGCTGACTTCTCAACGTAAGTTGCCAGAATTATCTTTGTACTAAAAATGATACCTCAACAAACTTCAGGTGTTTGTGTTAAGGTCTGTTAAATTTTAGACTGGAATCCCAAAACTGTGCATTAGGAACTGTTTATCACAGAACATACAGAGAACATATGCAGAGGATTGCATGGTCAAAAAATGGTTCTGTATTGTAGGAAATCTAGTAATGATTTCCATTGTTTGGTCCAGGTTATATCCTAGTTATTATAGCATGCAAACTACTTTTCAGGTCGCATATTCAGCTTTTAAAAACTGAGTAAATGTCTATCTCAAATATAGCTTATCAGTAGACACATATGAAAACATGCTGTTGAGCCAAGAGTCTTCTAAATATTAGTTGACCCTGAGTGTCAGCCAAAAAGTGCTTAATCACCAATTTGCTGACTTCTCTTAGTGGAATAACTTTGTCTGTGACTGCATTGTGACTCCAGAGTTAGTGTGATATTCACAACATAGGTCCCATTCCAAGCATGAGACTAGAGCTGGGGTTCAGCTCTTGCACTGCACTCCTGAGGCATTATGTTCTGAAAAATCTAGCACAGTGTGGAAGAGTCCCAGGTCTCTTCATAAAGTGAGAAGAGGGATGGAGATTATCCCTGTTGTTATACAGAGGCACTTTAACTGCCTTGGAACCATAATGCAACACTGGCCAATCCTTATCTGTCTCACAGAACATGGTATGAAATGACTCCACAGTTGCACTCCTTCAGTGGTTGTCTAATTTCTTGGAGGTCAAGTTGTAACAATACATTTCTTATTGTAGACCAGCTGGTTAGTGATTTTTTAAAGCATTTTTTGTGGAAATGCTCTTCTGTCTTACTCGAGGGAGACATGGGGAGAGGAACTCTTAAGTTATGTGCAACCAAACATGAAAACAGTGGGATTGTTATTTGTACAGTTTACAGTGCTTTGCTCACTTTTAAAAATAACCTTGTGTCTCTTATATATTATTACATTGCTGAATCCATAAATGTGTAGAATGTAACTCTCCAGATGTTGTCTGAAGCTTCCAGCCTCTCTCCCTGTTGACTGTGTTAACTAGAGATGATTGAAGTTGCAGCACAACAACATCTGAAATGTGTAGGCCATCTGGAAATCTAGGCATTTAAGAGGATATGGTAGACCTATTCAGGAATATAAGCCTAAGATTAGTCGTTATATACATTTGTCTGAGCTGAGAAGCTTGTTGCATCTCAGTTTTATTTGTTCTTGAGTATTGTGCAACAAAAAATTGTACGTTTTCCTGAGACAGAGATAGTGAGGGAGACAGAGAGGGAAAATTACAGTTTTTTCAAGCTCCAACTATAAGATTGAATTCTAATTATTTTGTTCATAATGCGCATCTGGTTTTTAAAATTGCACTAGTACAGCCGATAGACTGTAATGTGTTGCAATTCTGCCTCATATGACTAATAGGAATATACAGTGTGCAAGTGATCAGTCTGAACACATGTTCACTGCTTCATGCTATCTTCTGTTTTTTGAATTGGCTTTCTCTCTTCAGACAGGCGCAAATACAGCCGTGCATTTCTGCTTCAATTTCGTTATTGTGATGTTGCCTGTGAGCGACCTGCAGATTTGATCATGTTGGAAGGGGTGACAGATGCTGTACCAGGTACCCAGTTTTCCTCCAGTTCCGCCTTTTGGAGCTATATTATATTAAATTCTTTGGGACAGATCTTTTCATAGCTAATGGTTTGAGAATCCCAGAAAGGGGTTCACAGGTGGAGCCAAAGCATTACCCTGTATTTCTGTGTGAATGGAATTTCAACAAGCATTTTGGGAAATGCATGCCAGCAGTGAAGAGGACATGACAACAGTGAAGTGGCTGCAAGCATTATCAGCAAGCAGCCTTTGACATGTTTGCTTAGACACAGGTTAGTGCTTGGGCTGAAAAGGTTTCTTACCCTTGTAAAAGTTTTGCAGCAGCTCTTCTTTTCAAGAAACACATCATTTTAAAACTTCACTGGCATTCCCTTACCTCCAGCAGCTTTAAAATCCTTGATTTAGAGAACTGTAAGGAATTAATCCTCTGATATTCTTTATTCCTCCAAAAGAAGTCCCACTGTGGTTTCTTACTTAATTATTTTGTTTCTTTGGATCATATACTGCCCCATTAGTGCAAGCACTACTTGTACATCATTGTGTACCAACAGCAGTTCCTGGATTCAAAGGAGCACATGACACGTTCCTCCATTCCCTGAGGGCTTTGAGTGTGTGTTTTCCCAGATAAACAGTGCCCATCACTGTATAACACAGTACCACTGAAACAGAAAATGTATAAAAATAGATTGTGATATGCTCATGTGGATCAGCAGTTCTAAAAATGAGATGTTCTCTTGGACATAGTCAAGCCTTTGGGCACTCCTAAAATGGTTCTAAGACAAATGAGTAACTGAAGAAACGGTATTCATTACTTGATCTGTCTTAGTGTGGGTTTTATCTTGTTTTAGTCCAGATAAGAGAGGCTAGCAATCTGGTTCTGTAGTAGGTGACAAAGCAAGCACGTTCCATCTTTTAACTGTATAGAAAACCTCACATCTAGTACCTTGTCCATGCACAGATGTTGATTGGATTTGCTCAGCAACAATGAGAGGCCCTGCCAGCCTCTTACTGGAGAGCATCATGGCAGTTTGAGTTATATAATAGAATCAGGCTCTCCTGTTTTGCCACTTGATGCTTTATGGCTATGGCTTGCAATAGGTACTTCTTTAAGTACTGTATACCACTCATTGTATGTTTGTACATTCAATAGTGTATATAATCGGTTTCCATGTTGTTTCTGCTGTGTTGCAGACCGTCCCGCACACTGGCTTAAAGAACTCGCTGTAGTGAACAACTCTGATTCAGAACTCTTTTGTTCAAGGTAATCTGAATGGGAAGTGAGGAGGGAGGGTACAATATAGAGCCCAGATGGGAAGACTGAAGGGATTATCTGGTCCTAGTCAAAAGGCCCGTGTAGCAACAAAAGAGCTAGTAGTGGTAGACACTTTTTTCCCCTAATGAAACCTTCCCATGTAAAGGGGGCTACCAGAGGCAAGCGTTTGCTAAAGAAACTGGATCTTTCAAGCTGTCATTGATTGACTGGATTACATTAGGGAGTTTTTGTTTTCCTATCATGGAAGTGAAAGAAATCTTCCCAGCTAGAATGGCTTAAATATGTAGTGTAGCCTCTTGAAATTAAAATGGAGGCATCCAATGAGATGGAGGCTAGGAGAGCCTAGCAGTTCCTGAAGTCCTGCTTTGAGACTACAGTAATTCTAGCCTGATACAAGTTGTAACAAGATTGTATGTTCTTAGCCATCTGTCTAAGAAGACAGATGGCTAAGCAGTTGTACAGCTGGAAGCAGTTGTATCTTAGCTTTTAATCCAAAAGGCTCCAGAGTGGCTTATGTTATGGTCAGTGAAATACAGTGCTTGCCTTCAGAGGTTGGACTCCAAAGGGGCAGGATGTGAAAGGAACGAGGAGAGAGACTAGTTGTCCTTTAGCAGGACTCATGGAATGGCCCCACTTCTCCCCTCATCTCACTTTTCTGCAGTCTTAATGAACAGCTGTGGTGGTACTAATTGAGGGAGGAGCCATTATTCTCAGTGTAGACTCCCTTTGACATTGATTTTTTTCTCAGATATGCTGCTCTAGTTTTGAACAGTTAATAAAAGTTGTTGGTATTGACTAATCCTGTGGTGGTGGTATCCTTATTTAAATCTCAGTGCAGTGTTCCCCAGAATTAATCAGAACGACAAGATATCTGCAAAAGGCAGCACATCGAAACTCACTGGTGCTTTACATAGCAGTGATGCCACATTAGAGATCTATGTAAGGATGTTCTTCTGGGATGATTATGCAGCTCTGCATTTTTGGATGGAAAAGTTTAAATAGAAATTCTCATATACCTGATTTCTCAGGGCCAAATAAGGCACAGTATTAAATGAGTCTTTGCATGTTTGTATATGTTTTTAAAAATGCAGCCAGTGGCAGGTAGCGATGGGGGTTACTGATACTATCTGGGTATCTCATTTGTGTCTTTTTTTAAAATGGAAAGAATAGCTTTAAAAGACTGAATTTGTTGGGAGCACAGCAGGGAAAAAGGGTTAAGCCCCACACACTGCTTGCTATATTCCCAGTAATATCATATCAGGATAGTTACCATTTACTTTTTTTAAAGTGCAAAAGTATATTTGAAGCCATATATCTAAGTAGGCTCTCAGCATATAACCAAGTCTAGAAGCTATAGGAACAGGCTGTGAATACTGGCTAAACTTTTCTTGCTTTTGATTCTCAGTATTGAATTTCTCATCCCCTTCCCCACCTTCTTCTCTGCAGGTATCCAGGCACTATTCAGCACGGTCTCAATCTGACCTCTGCCTACAGCCACTTCTTGCCTGAGAGAGGTCGCCCTGAGATTACCACCATGCCAATGGGCGTGGGGGCCACTGTTGATTACATCTTCTACTCAGCAAAGCCGATCAGGAATGATAACCAGGAATGTGAGTGTGGCACATGAGAGTAGCCTAGATAGCTGCAGCTAGTGTGTACATTTTGAGAACATGCTATGATGGGTCCCCTTTCAAGCTCTGCCCATTCTTGCAGTGGATCAGTAGATGTGGCAGTGTACATATTCAGAAGATTTGTTCTGGGGATAGCTTTGTAGTAGTTAATTTTCTGTTTCTTATGCTTCTAATGGCTTTTCCTTGAACAATGATCAAGGTTTCCTGACATTCTGGGATCAGTTCATCTCATTGTATTCCTGCTTGGATCTGTTTCCTCTGCTCTTCCCCAGCAGGATCTTTGCCTACATCTCTAACTTGACTCTTTTAGTACTGGCAAAAAGGTAATGTTAGCGTCACATCTACTGCTAGTGTTATTCGGCCTTTTCTGTCCCTGCCCCCCTTAACATATGGCCTCAAGTCTTGTGAAGCAAGAGGAAAACAGATTGAGCCTAAACTTACTATCACAAAAGCTGACCGTTGGGCATGTGCATGGCAATAACACCACATTCTGGAATTATATACTTACTGAGACATTTCTGTGCTTGTGAAACTTTTTTCCATCCCCAAGAAAGCTGAAAGATTCAGGAGGAACAGCTGAACTGGCATCTGATATGTTGCCATTCGGGAGGATGATAGCAATTTTTTTAAAGGAAATAGAGTAAATGGCTGGTGATGGTGAGTAACTGTGCAAGTGCCTGCATATATACAGGTAGTATATGCTGACTGAAGACATTGTATGGTTATGGCTGATGAGAGGTTTCCATGATATCTTCCCCAAGCAACTAACAGTGGTTCTTCGTGGCCTCTGTGAATGCACACAAATGGGTCTTGTCTGCGCCTGCACTGACATTCTCAGAATATTCTAGAGCAGTGGTCCTCAATCTTTTTTGGTCCACGGACCAGTTGGGGGGGTGCGGGCTCCATACGAGGACTGGTTGGGGGTGGGACACCCCTACGCTCATGGGTGGGTGTGTCGCACTTGCGGAGGGGCATGCCGTGCTGGTGCTAAACTCCCCCAGCACCCCTCACAGGAGAGCAGTGCCCCTTCCCTGCATGGAAGCCGCCGTGGGGCAGCCTACCCGGGAAGCTGGCCACCAGGCTCGGCACCACCCCACCCAGGGCGAGCGGCTGAGTGGGAGCACGTGCGCGATCCTGCTGCTTCCTGCCTGGCTGACTCTTCCTGGGTTGGAAAGGTGGGCTGGGCCGGGGTTGTCTGCAGAACCTCCGAGGTTCTGGGAGGGCGGCCTCCCTGCCACCACCGCCCCTGAGTGCGGCTCGCCTTCCGGGGCCTCCCAGGAAGGCGCGGCAGAAGGGGAGAAAGAGGCAACGCCACCCCAAGGATCATCCACCACGGAGCGTCTTCGGCCCCCCTTTCTCTCTTCTCCTAGAAAAAGCCGCCTTAAAAGATCCTCTCCCTGCCCCACTCAAAAAGGGAGGGCTGGTTGAGTCAGGGAGGGGGGTGGAGGAGGAGGACAGATGGATCCACCGTTCCCCCTCCCCTTCTTTTTGTTCATGCAGACTTACAGAGTTGCACGGAAGGAGCCCGGGGTAGGGGAAGTCAGGTGTGAGGGAAGCTCCTGAAGGGCAGGGAAAGGAGTCCCTCCTCTTTCTCCTTCCTTTCGTTGCCCCAACAAAGACATACAGCCCTGCCCAGCTTGGTTTCCTGGAAAAAAAAGCCTGCCCGCCGGTCCAACAGAGAAGGTGCAGAGACAGGCCGGCTGGGCGCACGGAGGAACCGCCGCCTCCGGGAGGCAAGAGCTGCAAAGTCACTCCAGCTCTCTCCCCCCTTCTGGCTTCTGCTATTACCATCTCTCCCGCCGCCACTCCCCACCCGCAAGTAGCACCATGTCCTGGCTTCTTGCAGATGAAGGAGGAGACAGGCCAGCAAGGGCAGTGGGGGGGGAGCAGAGTCCTTGTCTACCAGCCTTACCTGTGGTGGGCACCCCTTTGGTATTGAGAGAGATTGCGTGTGGGACGGGATGGTTGCTTTGGCCGCCCAGCGCAAAAAGCGAGCAAGCAAGACAAGGCAGGATCTGGTTGATGATGCTTGTCTCTCATCTCTCTTCTCGCTGTCAAGTGATGGCACACAATGATACTCAGTTCTCATCTCTTCCATCTGAATCTGGACCTGACTCCGATTCTGACTCCTCGGAGGAATCGCCAACCAATATTTCAACCCCTTCCCTGATGCCATATGTCTCTCATATGGCTGCTGCATTAAAACTCCCCGTGGAGGAGCCTCCTTCACCTGAAGCTGACTTGATATTTGAGGACATTAATAGAGAGAGATCCCAACCTCTTAGTCTTGCCTTTATTCCCTCTATGCTGAATCACATTAAGGATGCTTGGGACAAACCACCTGCAAACTTACAGATTTCGAGACATACAGAGAACATGTACCGAATGCATGGTCCCAATACTGAATTTCTTGCAAACATCCTACACCTAATTCCATCATCGTCAAATCTAATCTATCCAAATCTAGAGGAAAGTCCTCCATCTCTCCAACCAACAAGGAAGGCAGAAAACTAGATGTCATAGCACGCAGAATTTACTCACTACAATAATTTCTACTTAGAGTCTCCAACTATCAGGCAGCAATGGGCACCTACCAACGCCATTTGTGGTCCAAGATTTTACGATTTTGGAATCTGCTCCTGGGCCGATCAAGTCTGAGCTCATCAACGCTCATACAGAAGCAGCATCTCTGGCAAAACAACAGAGAATCGCTGCCAGGCATGCAGCCGAGGCAGCTTCAAAGACTTTAGCATCTTCCATCTTGATCCGCAAGCATATTTGGCTCAGATCTACCGGCTTGAACAATGATGCTAAGACCAGAATTGAGGAACTCCCCTTTGATGGCTCTGGGCTTTTCAACCAGAAGACTGATGAGTATGGAGAATCTCCATAAAATAAGAAAATAGCAAAATCATACGCAAACTTGCAGTCCTTTCACCCCTACAATCCTTCTTACAAACAAACACAATACTATCAACAACCAGCTCAACAATACCAACGCTACCAACCATACAGACAATATCGATCCCAACAACCTGACAGATCCTTTTTGATCCCGACACCATCAACATCGTTCTCTTGATAGCATAATCAACAGCACTGACGCCAATCCTTCCGTAAACCACAGAAGAAGGGTAAGACCTATCAGCAGTACTAACACTGATATCCCATCTCCAATCAGTTTTTCTTCCTCATTTCAAACCAGACTACACCTGTACCTACCCTTTTGGCAGCTCATTACTAATGACTCCTGGGTCCTCAGCATTGTTTCATCTGGTTACCGTATAGAATTCGATTCCTGGCCACCGTTAGTTGATCTTAAATTCACCCCTTATTCGGAGGCCCTCCAAGAAGGGATTACTACCCTTCTGAATAAAGATGCCATTATTCGATTACCACCATCTGATTTTCTCAATGGCTTCTATTCAAAATACTTTACAGTACCTAAAAAGGATGGAGGCCTCCGCCCAATTCTTGATCTCAGAGATTTGAACAGTTTCATTCGACCTCAAGAGTTCCGAATGTTAACCTTCGATACCATTATCCCTCTTCTTTCGCAGGGAGATTGGCTTGTGGTGATTGATCTGAAGACACATACTTTCATATATCTATCCACCCGTCTCATCAAAGGTACCTCAGATTTCATTTCAACAATTCTACCTACCAATTATGTTCCCTACCATTTGGACTCTCAACGGCACCAAGGACTTTCACAAAGTGTATGGCACCGATCGCAGCGTACCTCCATCTACAGGGTATTCACATTTACCCATACATCGGCGATTGGTTGATAGTAGGAAAATCTTGTCACGATGCCATGAGAGCAACAGAAATCACACTTGACAGCTTAAAAAGTCTCGGGCTCAAGGTCAACCACTCCAAATCTCAGCTAGAACCGCTCCAAAGGATCATTTACGTTGGAGCCCTCCTCAGCTCCATACAAGCAAGAGCATTCATATCATCAGAAATAATAAAGAAATTAGAAACAACAATTTGACTGTTCCGACCTCGGGCTCTCATTTCAGCCCACCATGTCCAACGCTTTCTCGGATTCATGGTGTCCACGACGTTGGTAATTCAACACACCAGACTCAAACTCTGGTCTCTCCAATCGTGGTACTTCTCCCTGTTTGACCCAATCAAGGACCATCAATCTGTAAACATTCAGGTTACACCAAAGTTAGCAGACCAACTCACCTGGAGGACGTCCATGTTGAACCTTTGAGTGGGGCACCCATTGACAGCTCTCCAACCGATGGTGCAAGTCACCACAGATGCCAGTCAGTCAGGTTGGGGAGCACACTGCTTGGATCACAGGATTCATGACCTGTGGATGAAACAGGAAATGTCACTCCACATTAACCATTGGAACTTATAGCCATCATCCGTGCCTTCCATGCATTCTTGCTTCTTATAGAGGGACAGCCGCCTAGAGTGGTCACAATTGACTAGATAGGCGGGGTATAAATGAAATAAATAAAATAAAATAAAATAAATAAAAATAAATAAGTAGTACAGCTGGCAACATACAATACGATTGCCCTGTACTATGTGAACAAGCAAGGAGGCACTCACTCTCTGTCCTTTTTATACTTAGCAGTTGACCTATGGGAATGGTGCTACTCATATCTTTCCCATTGCGGTGCACATCTCTACAGAGGACAATCATGTGGCCGACCATCTGAGTCGCTTGACATCGAGGACCCACGAATGGACCCTCAATGACTCAGTCTTCCTTCAACTTTGCTGTCGCTGGGGCACTCCAGATGTCAATGTTTTTGCTTCGACATCGAACAGGAAATGCGAGATCTTTTGCTCTCGAGCTGGAGCAGACATTGACTCCATCTGGGACGCATTCATGGACTGGTCAGGGAATCTAGTATACCTATTGCCACCGATACCACTCATCCAACGGACGGTAATACGGCTCTGTCACTTTCAGTCCAATGCAATCCTGATCGCTCCTTGGTGGCTGAGACAACCCTGGTTCACTTACCTCCGGTCGATTTTGACTGACACATTCTGTCTCCCGCTGATTCCCAACCTCTTGACATTGAACGAAGGAATGATCTACCACCCCCACCTGTCATTGCTGAGTTTGACAGCTTGGAGAATACTTCCACCTTGAAGTTTGTAAATGATCGAGCCCGAAAACCATCGACGCGGCTCCTATATGAAAACAAATGGAAAGCCTTTCTCAAATTTACAAAAGCAAATAACTTAACTGCTGTACCTGTATCCCTCAAAACACTACTTACCTTTACACGCCACCTCTTCAAGTTGGGACTGTTTCATTCAACTTTAAAGGTTTACATTTCAGTGATCATCACCCATCAGCCAGACGACTCTGCTTCGGCGAAGCTCTTCGCATATCCTACGGTAAAAAAATTCCTCAGAGGACTAAATAACATTTGTCCTCCACATCAACGTATCGTTCCTCAATGGTCTTTACAGATAGTATTAAATGCGCTAATGAGCCATTCGAGCCCACGTCCTCCTCGAGCCTCAAACTTCTTACTCTAAAGACGGCATTCCTTGTGGCTATTGCATCTGCCAAGAGAGCTAGTGAACTCGCACCTCTACGATCTGATCCTCCCTTTACCCAGCTTCATCCCGATAAGGTGACTCTATACTTTGATGTTTCAAAGTAAGATTGTATTAGACTTTCATGTTAATCAACTTATCGTCTGCCATCATTCTTCAAATCGCCATCATCACCTCTAGAGCACATGCTCCATACCATCAATGTAAGATGTGCATTGGCATTTTATTTGGACAGGACCAAGAGCTTCAGAAAGACTAATAGGCTCTTTGTGTGTTTTCATGGTCCTCACAAAGGAGGTCCAGCTTCTTCACAGTCCATCGCCAGGTGGATAGTTCAGACCATATCTCTGGCTTACCAGCTGTCAGGAAAATCATCACCTAAACAGCTGAATGCTCACTCCACTCGAGCGCTGTCCACCTCTATTGCTTTACAACGTGGAACAGAGATTCCTGACATCTGCTGTGCTGCAACATGGTCCATCCCTTCAACCTTTGTGAAGCACTAGTGGCTGGACGTGAGAGCATTCAATGATGCTGGTTTTGGCAGAGCTGTGTTGCCATCCATCCTTACTACTATGACATCCCACCTGCCGGTAAGTGAAACTTGCTAGTCATCCATTTGTGTGCATTCACAGAGGCCACAAAGAAGAAAAAGAGGTCACTTACCTGTAACCATAGTTATTCAAGTGGTCCTCTGTGAATTCACACTACCCACCCATCCTCCCCTGTGTCCGACATGGGTATTTTAATTATATTACAGCTCTCCTGCCCAGTGGACATATTTTAGGAACTGAGGGGAGTGGTGAGTGGGAGGAGCATGTGCCTCATGGGGGATCATGCGATAAAATTGTTACTTTTAGCTCTAGAATATTCCAAGAACGTCAGCGCAGGTGCAGACAAGATCCATTTGGTGTGAATTCACAGAGGACCACTCTAAGAACTATGGTTACAGGTAAGTAACCACTTTTCCTTTTTGTTAATCTTTTTATTACAGCTGTTCACTGATTCTGTAGTTCTGCCTCTCTTCAGCCACTGTTTTCAAAACCTGAAGGCTATACCCATTGTTTCTTTTTTCTAGGTGAACAAAGATATAAGACTAGCTTTTAGTAGAATGTGTTTGGGCCTGGACTGTGTTTCTCAATGGAAAACAATCTTAGCATCAAGGAAGGGGAGGCAGATCTTTGACTAATACCTTGTGATAACTAGAATTAGGGTGGTGACTACATTGGCCATTTGTCCTGTAATTTACATTGAATTGCATACTGATGAGTTCAGATTAAAACACAGTGACTACATGAAGTAAAGCTCAATGGGGGAAGCCTGTTGTGGAATTATCTTTCTTTTTTGGGGGGGGTTTCGTCTCTTTTTTTATCAACTGCCAGAATGGTATACATTTGTTCTGATCAGTTTGACATTGCTCTTGTCTACTTTTGTGCCAGTGTGATTACCTGATCTGATGCGTAGGGACACTCAGGTATGTGTCAATTCCCCTCAACCAAACATCCCTGGTCCTTGAACTTTTCCTTAAAACACTTCAGTTAAACGCAGGAACAGGTTTTCATGAAGAAATTTCAATTTTTTTTTAAAAGGGGAGGAAGAAATTGCCAATTAACCTTTATTAGTACCTTAAGGGATCTTCGGACATTTTCCCTGCTAACCTCTGAAAATTGGTCTGGACAGCTACAGCAATTTAACCTAGGGAAACCTGATTTCCCTGAGTGCAAATCACAGTGGATCAAATCATATTTTCCTTCCTATATAGTTGCACCCTCAGTCTCTTTAAGAGAGAGGCTTAAACTACAACGTCCTCCTATTCAGTGTTAAAGCAAAACAGTTACAGTTAAAGCTATATCCTCAAAAGTAAGGAAATTCAGACCACAGATCAAGACTCCCATCAAAACATGGTCATACTGATCATGACTCTTCTTGTACTTTTAAGTTCTACCACAAGTAAATTACTACAACACAACTCTACTAGCCAGCCCGGTCCCTTTATTGCATCAGTAGTGGTACAGAAGAATTGAAATGAGGCAGCATTGGATTTGCAGTGCAATTCTATTCACAGTTAACATAATCTCTATTAGGATAGTCTAACTCAGTGGAGGCAAACCTTTTTCGGCTCGAGTGCCCAAAATGAGGGGGTGGGGAAGAAACCAGTGGCTGCCATGCTGCCTGGAAGACCAGAACTGGAGCAGGAAGTGGCAGTTTCGGGGGGAATCATGGGGACGGATAGGAAGTTAAAGGGGGAATCATGGGGATGAACAGGAACTTAAAGGGGGAATCATGGGGATGGACAGGAAGTTAAAGGATCTAGAACAGGAAGAGAAGGGGAATCCCAGCTGCAGCCACTTCAAAAGGTTTGTTGCGTGCCAGAAGAAAGGGCTTTGTGTGCCAGCTGTGGCACGCGTGCCATAGGTTTGCCATCACTGGTCTAACTGATCTATATTTGGAGGAAGAAAGTCTCATTGTGCTTGATGGGCTTAGTCTGAGATAAGCCAAGGTATTTTCTCTGTAGAGAATCCAAGAGTCACAGTCATCTCGTGTACATACCTGGGATGAAAGCTCAGGTACAAGAAAGATGTGCCCATATGCCCATGTTTTGGGGAGGTGTGATTGATTCTGCAGTCTGAATTATCTTACATTGTAGGGTATCATCAGCCATCGCCTTTTGTTTCAAACCGATTCTTTTCTTCTTTAGGGATTCTGTTTACTGAATCTTTTTTGTTAGGTGCCTGTGATCTGGTGATGTAAATGTTCATATTTTTCACCATCTAATAATGCAGTTTCTGTATGTAGCTGACCTCATGCTTCCTTGTCAGGTTTGAGTGCTTTTTTGACATGCTACTCTTGATTCATCTCTAGATCGCAGAATGTACCAAGATGGAGCCCTGAAGCTTCTTGGCCGCCTCTCCCTCCTCTCTGAAGACATCCTTTGGTCAGCAAATGGCTTGCCAAACCCTTTCTATTCATCAGATCATCTTTGTCTGCTGACCAGTTTTGGCCTAGAGATCTCTGACTGCTGATCATGTGCCAGATCTGTAAGACTCTCACAGGAGTTAGACTGACTGGAAGAATCATGCCATTTTCATCAGCTAACCAAAAAAAAAACTCCAAACCGCAGCAATTTTTTAATCCCCTATCCCCTTCTCTATGCCATTGTTCTTTTCTCCCATGCTTTTTTCACGAGGAAATAATATTTGGGTTATGCTGCTGTTTCAGTTCTGTGAGATTCACTGCCAGTTTATGCCTGCTAGTACTCTGGCATATTGCTCCATTATTTTAAAGAGCATAGTTTAAAGTGCAAATCAGCAGGATTCTCTGTTTTGCTCTCCACAGTTTGGCAAGGATACTTTGCTACCATGATCTAGGAATGAGCAGGACTTGTCACTGTTCACCATAACATTTTAGTGGTAAAAGAAGAGGTGATTTGAACCTGAGTCTTACTGACTTTTTCTGCATCTTATTTTTTGCTGCAAGCAGCAAGGAGCATTTGTACTGTCTTCCCTTGTCCAGTGGTCAAGGTGGTGGCACTCCCTTGTTTTGCCAAAGTGTAGCTCTTTTGGTGCTTATGCTGCTTGAAACCACTAGAGGCTGGTGCTCGTTGATTGGAGTGTCTGATTTACATACTTAGAAATGAAATAAAGCCAACTGGTGTCAACCAGCCACACAGATAGACTCTTCTGTTGGAGTCCACTGACTGGACTTTAGTTTTTCTTCATGAGCACCAGACACATTTGTAAGCCTTCAGCTTATACTATGAAGGAGTTGTACCATAGCTCTAAGAGCCCAGTTGCATTTTGTTCTCAGGTTCTGTTTTATTTCTTAAAATTGCTTCTTGCTCATAAGCTTGGGACATTGTTGTTGTCTCAGATGGAATCCAGGTTTGCATAGAAGAGAAGACTGTTGTTCCTTTTTTTTTCTTTGTTTACAGCTTGAAAAGCACATCACTGGGTACCTCAGCTGGGCCTGGCAATTGCAGGTAACAGTTTTATCATCAGTGAATTGTGGCTGCAGAGTATGGCAAGCTTTTAGGTAAACCAACCAGTTTCCTCGATGCATGAAAATCATCTTAATCCAGCTGTGCGTGGGCTATGGCACGATTATATTTCAGAAAAGAATTGGGAGTTTAAAGTATTTTTTAATGTTTTTGCAGAATCAAATAAAAAATAAAATTATATGATTTCAGAAATGTTGTAAATTCTGCTTGTTGAGAGTAGCATACATGATTGAACAGAAATATTTGATGGCAGAGATTTAGCTGTGAGACTGCCCTCTGGTGGACATAGTAGATAATGCTTAGGATTCATGGTGCTCTGTATGTTTTCTCTGTAAAACATTTAAGCGGAAGCAAAGTGTGCTTAAAACAGTGAATGCAGATCTTCTTTAAAGTCACCTACCTGTGTATAATAAGTCCTAGGAATTCTGATGCTTTCTAGAAGGGGTAGGGGAAGTTATATGCTTTATGGGTTGGAAAATTTGGATTAGTAAGGCAGTTTAAAAGATACGTTGTTCTTGACAAGCGGACAGGCGAAGGAGAGTACTTTCTAAAATATTTTCTAAAAGGACTTGACACTCTTCCCACTGGTGAGAAGAACGGAGATCAGGATCTACTGATAAATTTCTGGGTGATGTGCAGTAGATCTTTGATCATTTCTGATCCAACAAGAACAATACTGTAGTTAAATAAATGAAAAATGAAAAAAAGAACTGTGCCTGACCTTTTGCTAGTGACTGATTGATCAGTTTTGCTGTTCTTCACCTATAAAATAAGGGTACTACTCAGCTGTCTTTGGTTTGGTCTTTGTGTAGACTGTTCCTAGAATTTTTTGTTAAAATTCTTGATCAATTGTGACTTAGATGTAGAGCAAGGATCCATATATGCAAGGATTTGCAGAGTGTGGCTCATGGAGCACAGGAGAGAACTGGTTTGACCCATCACTATTTGGCATATGGTTTTGGTCAATGCCCTTTGGTGTAGTAATTAAAGAAGAAGAAAACTGTGGGCCCTTGGAATGTACTCATCCATCTTTTTATGAGGGTTGTACAATAACAAGTTGAGAGTGGAATTCTGAGAATCTCAGCTGTTTGAAAAAAACACTTAACATAATACTTGTTAAAAGATATGGGAACATGGTTGAAAGTTGAGGACAATAGCTAGAGAAAACTCAAAGACAAAAAGGCCTAGAAAGATTGCTAGTGACTAAAGTGAAAAATTTGTGTAGCTTCAGTGCTATGTGTAGCTTCTTGCCTACCTCCTCCTGCCTTAAATTTTGCAGAAGCAAATATCTGAGAGAGATAGTGCATGCATGTATTAAATATATTTGTATATATGAATACAAATACATTTGTCTACAGCCCTGGATATATACATGTTTGCCACAGAGCACAGGTAGGAAACTTCCTGGAGCTGGTAGTTTAAATTCAACCCTCCACCTACCCCAGCCTATTAGGAACCACACTTTTGCTGCAGATTGGCAAAAGTTGCGGCAGTTCCTTATGGTGCATCCTCATGCACCATGGAGCCCTGCAAATTCCTTCCTTTTCAAGAGGAAGAGTCTAGCCAGTGCTGTCAATTTTTGCAATGGACTGCGGGAGCTCTGACGGCAGCAGAAATGACTAGGTAGGGTTTGTGGCCTGTGGGCTGTTTGTTTCCCAATTTTGCCTTAGCGAGTAGGAGAGACTGCATTCCTATACCACAAACCTAGGATTTTAGCCAATTGGATGGGGTTGTTTATGTTCATGTATATAAATAACATCCACAACCTGCATTTTTCTTCTGGGAATTCAGAAGTGCTGTTTTCATATGTATGTTGCAAATGTTCACACAATATAATAAGAAATTTTCTGTGGGTTTTATTCATTGTGGGTTGTATGTAGTGGTGCTGCTGAAATTATTGAACTCTGTAAAATCAATGTAGCCTGTTGTTAATTCAGATACATATTTAATCTTAATTATCCATTGAAATGGCATTGTTTATTGTTAGGAACCAAAACTTGCAAGAACAACAGATTCAGTTGCTGTTGCTTCTGCCACTTGCATCTTCACAGACTCTGCTTCCACCTATGGCTGCATTTGAATCTTTTGGTCTAAAAAGCATGTGGCAGCAGCCTGCAAGAAAATACATTGTAGTGAACGCTGCATACAAGTAGACAAGGAATGCTGCAGTAAACATGGTATTTTCCCAAGATGGACCAGTGACATGCATGGGCTGCAATCTGGCCAGTTTGCAAGTTTGTAATATAAGATAACATCACTCTACATTTATACATCTGAACCTGATTTACAGTTTATTTATTTTAAAATATTTTCTGATTCAAAATTGTAATGAGTTCTGCTTTTATTTAATAAGTACAAGTATCTTATATATATGGTGTTGTGTACCTAGGACATCCCATGCACCTGCTTTTTCATGAACATGTACGTGTGTGCACAAATGACAAGCTACACAGTAAAAACCAAGGCTTACTTGCTGCACAAATGCAAACTAGTATGAATAGTAAGAGGGAGGGAGATTTGGAACTGATAACTATGTCCAGAATCCAAATTGCTGCTCATGCATGAGGAATGTACTTCTGTACAAAGAATATGAGGTTATCCATGGATGTTTTACAGGTAGAGAATAATGTTACTTCCAGACAAGAAAAGAAAGATGAGAAAGATTTCTTTGGTATTATGTGAGGTAAGGTGGGTTTTTTTCTTTTTTAAATTCTGCAGTTACAAGGGATCAGTCTCTCTTTACTAACAGTAGTGCTTCTGACATGAGGAACTTTCACACTCCTGATGTTAAAAATGATTATTTCAGAAATGTATTAACCTAGGTTAGGGGTGCAGTTGCTTCGAAATGAATAGAAAAGCCCACATACATTATTTTTTTAAAACAAAAATGATTGGGAATCTGAATGAAAATGCACATTCATGCCCTCATTAGTTTTTAACCACTTTGCTTTGGCAATTTATTTTTACATTGAAGAAATAGCCTCAGATTCTATGTACAGTTTATGACCAGATCAGTAAGAGAAATATCAGTAAAACTGGCACAAAACTGGAAGCTCTGTTTAGTTGTGTCTCTGCACCACATTTACATATTTTAAAAATGGGGACTCTATATTAAGGACAGAGTGTGGCCCTTTAGTCATTCAGCTGCACTTCTCATAATCTCTCACTATTGTCTATGATTGTCTAAAGCTAATGAGCATATACTAATTCAGTAACATGTGGAAGGCTTTGTTGTTGTTTAGTCATTAAGTCATGTCTGACTCTTCATGACCCCATGGACCAGAGCATGCCAGGCCCTCCTGTCTTCCACTGCCACCCGGAGTAGGGTCAAATTCATGTTGGTAGTTTCAACGACACTGTCCAACTATCTCAGCCTCTGTCATCCCCTTCTCCTCTTCTCTTCACACTTTCCCAACATCAGGGTCTTTCCCAGGGAGTTTTCTCTTCTCATGAGATGGCCAAAGTATTAGAGCATCAGCTTCAAGATCTGCCCTTCCAGTGAGCACTTGATTTCCTTCAGAATGGATAGGTTTGTTCTTGCAGTCCAGGGGACTCTTCAGAGTCTCCTTCAGCACCACAATTCAAAAGCATCCATTCTTCGGCAATCAGCCCTCTTTTTGGTCCAACTCTGAATTCCATACATTGCTACTGGAAAAACCATAGCTTTGACTATGCGGACCTCTGCTGGCAAGGTGATGTCTCTGCTTTTTAAGATGCTGTCTAGGTTTGTCATCGTTTTCCTCCCAAGAAGCAGGCGTCTTTTAATTTCATGGCTGCTGTTACCATCTGCAGTGATCATGGAGCCCAAGAAAGTAAAATCTGTCACTCTCTCCATATTTTCCTCTGATTTCCCAGGAGGTGTTGGGACAATTGGCCATGACTTCACTCTCCAGGATGTCTAGCTCAAGGTCAATAACTGAACTATCTGGGTTGTCTGGGACATCCAGATCTTTCTGGTATGCTTCCTCTGTGTATTCTTGCCACATCTTCTTGATGTCTTCTGTTTCTGTTAGGTCCCTACCATTTTTGTCCTTTATCATGTCCATCTTTGCACAAAATGTTCCTATATCTCCAATTTTCTTGAACAGATATCTGGTTTTTCCCTTTCTATTATTTTCCTCTATTTCTTTGCTCTGTTCATTTAAGAAGGCCCTCTTGTCTCTCCTTGCTCTTCTTTGGAAGTCTGCATTCCATTTTCTGTACCTTTCCCTTTCTCCCTTGCATTTTGTTTCCCTTCTCTTCTCTGCTATTTCTAAGGCCTCATTGGACAGCCACTTTGCTTTCTTGCATTTCCTTTTCTTTGGGATAGTTTTTGTTGCTGCCTCCTATACAATGCTACGAGCCTCCATCCATAGTTCTTCAGGCACTCTGTCCACCAAATCTAGTTCCTTAAATCTTTTCTTCACTTCCACTGTGTATTCATAAGGATAAACTTTGATTACTGTGATGTTGAAAGGTCTGCCTTGGATTCATATTGAAATCATTCTATCATTTTTGAGATTGTATCCCAGTACAGCTTTTCCCACTCTTTTGTTGACTATGAGGGCTACTCTATTTCTTCTACTGGATTCTTGCCCACAATAGTAGATATGATAATCATCTGAACTGAATTCACCCATTCCCATCCATTCCGTCACCCAGCTTCCCAATGTTCATAGATCTTACATTCCAAGTTCCTATGCAGTATTTTTCTTTGCAGCATCGGACTTTCCTTTCACTTCCTTTTGGCTTTGGCCCAACCACTTCATTAGCTCTGGAGCTACTTGTACTTGTCCTCCGCTCTTCCTCAGTAGCATGTTGGATGCCTTCTGACCTGAGGGGCTCATCTTCCAGCATCACATAGCCTTTTGTTTTTGTCCATGGAGTTTTCTTGGCAAAGATACTGGAGTGGTATGCCAGTTCCTGCTCCAGGAGGATCGCGTTTAGTCAGAACTCTCCACTATGACCTGTCCGTCTTGGGTGTCCCTGCACGGCATAGTCATAGCTTCTCTGAATTCTTCAAGCCCCTTTGCCACGACGAAGCAGCAATCCGTGAAGGGGTATCGAAGGCTACCTGTTCCTATATATAGTATGCTATGTATCCAAAGTGTGACAGATTTGGTGATATTAGAGTGAGGTAGTACTAACTTTATGCCATTTGGATGAGACACTCCAGAGCTATATATGCTGCTATGGCACACTATATAAGGAGCACTTTCTTTTATAGGCAATAAAGTGCTAAGTCTTCAACTGAAATTGGTTTTTTGAAAAACCCAACTGTAAAACAAACTGGAAACCTGTGAGTTTTTCATTTCTAAGTAGCTAGTCATTGTGTGAAAATAACACTTGAACAGAGACCCTTTTGTGGTTCTATAAGTGTCTCCCCCCCTTTTTTTCCATATTCCTTACATAAACCTAGATCTAAAGCACTGTGTCATGAGTTAGGAGTGATTAATGATCCAACTGACTGCACTGTTAAAGTAGAAGATCTATATAATGCTGCCACTTCCCTGCAGCATGTCCTCAGATTTCTGAATCTTCTTCAGATGTCATGCACATTTTCACTGAGCATTGCAAAATATGACCTCCTCTTGTCCAACACATTTCCTCCAGTTTAATATCACCAAACCATCCCCCTCCACATCCCATCCCATCATTCAAAACGATCTGACTATTTATTATGTGGAGTCTACAGATAGTGAAATTCTCTTGAAAGGATATGAAAGAGAAATGGATAGTTAGTGTGATATTTCACGATTGTTTTATGCAGCTGGCATGCATGTGCACAGTAATCCATGATGCTCAATGACACACACACACAGTGCTTACTTAAATAGGTTCTGACTTACCAAATCCCCACTAATTGTAAGGGCTGTAAATTGTAACTTGTCTTCATTTACAAGGATAATAAATAAGCAGCATACTTCTCCCTGGCAGTGAGGATTGGAAGTAGTTGGCCTACTTTCGCTATGACATACTACTGGATTTTAATCATTTTGTTGAAGTGAACATAGCATCAATATACTGCAGTGAACGAGCTGGACTGTTCAAATTTCAGCTTGTACATACTTTGACCTGGAAATGACTGCAGTGCTGTACTATTCGTTCTTGATGTCCAGAATAAGGTGAATATATAGTTAATAGGCTAGGTTGTTGGGGTGAACCAGCAATTCTCACTCATTTGTTACAGTGGATCCATATGATTTTTTAAAAAGTCACAGTTCAGTTGCAAGAATATTGCTTTCAGTATTTTATGTAATCGTTTCCAGGGGTAGTTGTGTTGGTCCACTGCAGCAAAACATTTGTTTGTTTGTTTGTTTGTTTAATTTATATGCCGCCCACACTACCCAAAGGTCTCTGGGCGGCTTACAGCATTTAAAATACAATAAAGATATGTAACAATTAAAATACAATTAAAATATATATAAAATTGTGTTGGTCTACTGCAGCAAAACAGCAGGGTCTCCTTATGACACCTTAAAGACTAACCAGTATAGTCTTAAAAATTGAAACTCCTAGATAGGTCATCTCCCTTTGTCCTTTCAGTGACCACCATTAAGATTACCCCCCCCATTGCCATAAGACCCTCATTTTGGTGTACCCACCAATGAATGTCTTCTCATTATGTTTGCACGTATGTCCTTCTGCTGAGGCCTTATTTTATGTATCTAAAGAACTGGGCTGAAGTCCACCAAAGTTTATGCCAAATAAACCTGTTGGTCTTTCAGTGCCACAAGATTCTTTGTTACTTTGTCTCTAATTAATCACACTCTCGTGAAGTGGTCCGGACCAGACTTCCCCAAATTGGTACCCTCCAGATGTTTTGGAGGACAATTTCCATCATCCCTGACCATGTTAGTTCTATTTGG